TCGAAAGGAAAGTACTTGGATTATGGTATAAACAAACTGACTCTGACATGTAAAAAAGCAGTAAGTTTTCTCAGGAGAGGGAAAAGGTATAACTTATTGCTTAAAAGCACACTTCTCGAAATCATATTTCTTACAGTGCAACCTTTCTTGGCAACCTCCGGGATGCACATTAGCCAAGGTTTCTACATTAGGCGTCAACATCAGTGAATCATTAGTGGAAGGATGCAGGAACGACAAATGACACTCACTTTGTTCACGCCTTTTTGCTCTCAAGTGAATGGACTACGGCAGAGTTACACACCCACCAGAGTTCGTGGAAGCTACGACAGTGGCGAGGTTGGATTGCAATTACTCTTTACAAGGTACCCGAACCACTTCATATCCTCCCTCATGAATGAGTAATAACTATCCTCATCTCTGCCGACTGGTCACTTCTTCGTCAGCGGCAGAGTGAAACTCGCCGTTCGCATTTCGGAGCTCCAATTTCATCAGAGTAAATTTCCGGTTTTCCAAGGCCGAAAATAACAGCGAAGGCAAAGAACACGAGAAGTAATCGCACCCTGAACAGAAAACGAATGTCGCGAGCGAAGGCAAAACAGAAAGAGCACGAGAGCTCATCAAGGACGAAAGGCAGCTTGGCTGTAGTGCAGGCAGCAAAAGTACAATCTATTAGAAAAGAGGCACAAAAACGTGTCCTATGCGGGCGCTTCTCTTGCCGATCCCTCGACTTCCATCTCCACAACGGTTCCGAACAAATTCCCTCTACTTCAGGACTGCACGAATTCAGCGCGCTTGCGTGCTGTTGGCGCTCTACTTCGGCGCAATTGAAAGACGGCGAGGGGAGTTATAATGTTACTTTTGATTGATTGATTAGCGATTCCAGGAGCGTCAACTGCCAAGGTCATTAGTCCCGGAAGTGTAATGCATTCTTGTATCAGGAGGTGGAGGTAATTTCCCTCCTCTGGGTGGTGAAATACGGCACCGACCATCCGTCGGTTAATGGGATTTTCCCAACCACGTATCTCCCACCACCGGGGTACTGCCCCAGCCGGGACAAGCTCTGTGCTCCCGACTGGTCCCCCGGCATGTGTGGTAATGTAGTGTATACAAGTGTAACTGTGTGTACGTAAGTGGTGATGATAGGACAAGAAAGAGGAAAGAAATATCGCGCGCGGTCCGTGGCCTGTTTGATGGGGTACTGCTCCGGCATTCACCTGGTATTAATCGGAGAAACCAAGGGAAAACTACTCATCAGAGCAGCCGGTCGCTAGAATTCTTCTCCACACAGCGACTGAATTCGATTTAAGTAGTGTCGAAAATCTTGCCACCATCGGGACTCGAACCTAGGATCTCCAAATTAGAGGCACTGCAGTGACGTCTGTTGATGCCCTGAGCAACCTCTCCTAGTGTGACGTAATTTCTAGTTTGTGAGCATAAAGAGTTTACATTTTGATATTTATTGTTTTATTTTGTGTTAAGAAAGTTAATGTTATTTTAGTAATTTTCTTCTACAAGTATAGATACTTAAATAATTTCAAGAAAGTAAATGTATCATTATGTTGTGAAGTCATTTGTTGAAAATATATGTATTTGGTTTGCAGCCCAGAAATAATTCGTTGTATTCATCTTGGCAGGCTTCTTACACGTTTTCAACATTTGATTCTAGCCCTTTTATCATGATTAAATTGTACAGAGTTCTCAGTAACTATTTCCGTTACAAATTTTCTTCATGACATGCTATAAACATCACTGCGCGTGAGATCAATGTTAACAGAATTTTTTTTTCTATGGCAATTTCAAATATAAATTTAAACGGCAGTAAACATAAAAGGTACAATAGGAAAAACTATATCAGTTGAGAATTCATTAGACATTGTGCTAAGGAACTGATATTAATTTGATGTTGTTTCAGATAAAAGATAAATAATATACTTAAATTACTTGGGATTATTAAGGTCTACTCGTAGAGATTGGGTATTTTGAATGAACAGCTCTAAGCATTTTAAACTCTTAAGAAAAGCCGTATCTTAATCACACCACTAGCCGTCAAACTTATTCGATATATATTAATCGTATTCTACAATTTAACGCCCCGTTGTTTCCTGACTCGTGCAACATTGTGGAACACAAAGTTCTGATCGCCTCCTGCCTCATTTTACTGATGTCGTTACTGCTACGCCGTCTTTCTACTAATCATCACCCTCACCGTCACCCTCACCGTCACCCTCACCGTCACCCTCACCGTCACCCTCAGCGTCACCCTCAGCGTCACCCTCAGCGTCACCCTCAGCGTCACCCTCAGCGTCACCCTCACCGTCACCCTCACCGTCACCTTTGCGCGCACCCTTCCGTCTCGCCGAAACTCGTGGGCCTGCGTCGCGGCCGCCGTAGACGCCCCGTGGAAGTCCGGCCGGCGCGCATTAATCACCACGTGGCTGCAAAAAGCGCGCTCGTCCGCGGCAGCACCACCGACGACGACCCGCTCCTTCTCCCTCCCGCTCCCCTCCCGCTCCCCTCCCGCTCCTCCGCACGCTCAACAAATGAGGCTGGCCACCGCCTATGATAAAACACTCCCCTGGCGAAAACGTCGGCCCGGGCGGAAAAAAACGGCCACGTCCTCGCGACACCTGGTAGTCGGCGCTGTCTCCGCCGTCGCTATCGTTTGCAGCCATACGCCGCAGCTGCCTTTCTTTCCCAGGCGTACCTGCATTAAACTGCCCCGCACCCGCACACGGCGCAGTATTTGCTCCCTGTCACCCACGCACCCCGCCCACATCGCTCTCCACCGCATTCGCAGCCCCCATCCAGGCTGCCTCAGCCATTGTAGCTTTTCACCTGTCATCGCAGCCAGATACGATATTTCGGTTTATTTTCTTTGTCATCTGGCACTTCGCTCTTGCAACTGCTACGTACTTTCAGCTGCAGGGTTTCATCAATTAAAATACCAGCACGACAAAACATGGCCTGAAACTTCCACGTTTCTATATATCTACTCCTTTTCGGGTTAATATTTTTTTCGAATTTGTAGAATCACGCAAAGTTGGATTGTGCTGTTACTTTTTTTAATGAGAATTTGTGGAACTATTTTGTGTAAACTATATTAAGGTACAGAAAGACACATAATGTCTCGGGGGATTGCTGCCACTAGTACATGCATGCCCAAATCTCCGATGATTGCTGGTTGACTTTTCTGTATCAGTAGGGATAACCCACAATAAGTCCCTTGCTCAGCTCTATGCATAAAATGAGGGGATGATAAAGAGGAAAGTATAGCGCTGTCTATGCTTGCAAGCGAACATGGAAACCAAGGAATCTGCATTCTACGTGCAAATTCTGGTTGGATGAGGTCATTTCCGAGTTCTCCTTTTTGACCGCCAACCTAGATTTTTCGTACTGTTCACTTCTCATCATGCGCCAAACTTCTGAACCTGCACCAGGCCATTGTAATGAGGGTACTACTCCGTTGCTGGTACAAGAGAAAAATCAAGAAACGAAACACGTCAAATCAGTATTTGCTTCTGTCAAGCATAAATGTTGAACGTTTTAGCAAATGAAACCTCTAGAAGAGGTAGGATAAACAATGCGTACACGTTTACGTTTCTGTTTCTAACTTTTAGGAAAACGTCCGATATTGCGCCTATCCTAGTAGAAAAAACAGATCTGTAAATTAGATCGAAATAGCCAAACTGTTAGTAACTTTACAATGTTATTTTAGTGACTTCGACTTGCAAAAATTCTTTAATTAATCTCTAGAATTCTACTCATCGGTTTTCTTAGGAGATAATCTATCGTCTTGTACTCATTAGTTTTCCCTTTCGGCTACCATTTTCAAACAATTCTACTTCTACACTCGTTTAAAAATGATAAAATTATATTTTAATGTCAGTTAATCTTGTGATGCAGAAACTATGTCATTTCTTCTGCTTAGTTTACCTACTGCCAATAAAGGTAAGTAACAAAAACCTAAACAAAAGCCTTTAAGAGAGAGATAGGCAACGACGGTGTAGCAGACTGACTGCTTCCCTTCTTACGTTGGAATCCGAGTTTAAATCCCGGTCGATCCATGTGCAATTTGCAGTGGAGAAACCGCGTTCGCGGCAGATTTTCTCGAATGTTTTCCCGTTTTCTTTTCCTTTTCTTCCACATTGGCTCTATCATTTATACAATACAATATACTTCGCCTACACAAAGTTTCTTCCCATCAAAATCATTCACCACCGCCGTCGTTACATTATCTTCCCCGATGGTGATCTTCGTGTGATGGATAACAATTAAAAACATATTGATCTTTGTGTGTTGCGGAAATGTGAAATGCTGATGTTACCCTTTTCCACCCGGCAATTCGGAATTCTGGTGTACAGTGTGTGTGTGTGTGTGTGTGTGTGTGTGTGTGTATGTATGTATGTATGTATATGTATAAGTATATGTATATATATATATATATACATATACTTATACATATACATATACATATACATATACATACACACATAGGAAAGCAAAATGTGTCTCCACCGTCGTTGAAGTATAGTGTGGATACACTTCTTTCCGTGCCCAACAAGTATATTTTCAGTAATTGAGAATTTTCCTCTATTCGAAAGCTGACAAAATATTTTTTTAATCATGTAATTTGTGCATTCTCTACTACACGGGAAATATATACCAGTCAACTAGATACATCTAAGAAAATTAATCCAGCCATTAAAATATAAACATGTTCGGAAATAAACTTCTACAATAAATTGAACCTTGAAATTTTCCGCGATAACTGTTAAAAGATCTTCCACAATCCAATTAAAACTCGAAAGTTACCTGAAACATCAACTCCAAGACGGGAATTGTGTGGCTATGCAGGCGAATGAAAAGTTTTAACAAAATAAAACATGTTCAGGGATGCTTTAGACGGAACATCGTGTAACTTGACATATTTTAGGAACTCGTATTTTACCATTTACTACAATCAATAGCAGTATAATTAATAAATACAAATTTCTTTTCAGATGATCAGCCGGAGTATATACATTTTAGAAGCGCGCAAACGGAAACTCCGAATTTCGGAGGAAAAAATATGATTTGGCATAGAGCAATGATAACACTGTTTAACAAAAACGGTGAGCTACATTCAATAAACAGGCCAGAAATCCAGTAACACAATCTTTCCAATAAGTCAGCTAACCTTTCACCTTGAATTAAATCACGTCATTCAATTGATTTATTGCATCGTCCTTAATTTCATGGATTATCCAAAAATAATAATGAATTAAGAAAAATTAAAATAACAGTTGAGAGGTTGCTTCCTGGAACTACTTCGAAGATTGCTGATTATGTTTAATTTGTTATAATATACAACAAAATTAATGTAATTATGTAAAAAATTTGTTAATTATAATATTAATATAAAATAAATTAATAATTAATAATAATGATAATAATGATAATAATGATAATAATAATAATAATAATAATAATAATAATAATAATAATAATAATAATAATAATAATAATAATTAGTCCAGTTTCTCGGATCTCCGTTGTCCGTCACTTGTTTTAGTAGGCTACTACACACTTGACGTGTGTAACGCGCTTTCGCCTCCCAGCTACTCCTGCAGTTATCATGCAACATTACCTGGCACTTGCACGATGGCGACAGGTAGGAGGGGTAGGATAAAAAGATGTTCATCATTGTTAGAGTATGAGATATCTTTGGTGGTAACAAGAAGTATTTTGTTATTCAAATGCATAGGAAATTATGCGTTGCACAAACACAAGGTTGGGTTGGGTAAATCGTGGAAGTTGAATGCCAGTAATTTAGTGAACACCATGGACGTAATTTGCGACCTTTCGGGATGTTTTCCGAAATTATCGGTTCATCATCAATTCATGCAACTTTATCCAAACCATCTGGCTAATAAGCGAATTAACTAGACTTCCGTTGTATCATGTAAGGTTCCATGACGTCAAAGGCATGGTGACATATTTTACTCTGTATTTCCAATAAAAATTTAATAAAATGTATATCAGCTTTTCTCTGTGATATCTCGTTTTTATTTTATATTTATATATGAAAGAAAAAAGTATTACCTCAATATTAAATTAACATATGAGTGCTTTTTCCTGCTATTTTGAGTCAAGCAGGATTAGTTTGCATCCATTATCAATTAAATTCTCTTTCAAAATATAATGTCAGCAATATTATCTTATGAAACTTTTTATAGTAAAACTTAATAAATTTCACTCTTAAATGCTAACGTATAGAAGCATGATATGGTTCAAGACGAGAAGAATTTTCTCAACATACACAAAAAATCAGCAAATAAATGACACGTACTTTGTTTCCCAGAGAAGATTTTCCTTTTTAAGTAATTTTATCACCTGTGAATACTGCAGCAGACTACATTGAAGAGCATTTTAGAAATTAAAGTGAACGTGCTATAGTTTTATAATATCGATTTCTGGGATATGAAATTTGCATATAATGTCTTAAAGTTCTTAGTAATTTCCGTGTTCAAACACGATCTTTTCAACCTCTACCGAATGCGAGGGACCGCCTTCTTTTGTGCTGTGATGCTGTGTATTGCAGAGAAATACATAAGGGGTCGACGGAGCAATCATTCCTTTAAAATGGATCGATGAAGGAGAAAAGGGCCAGGTTGGGAATTCCTGTTCTAGATGACTGATTCTAGACAGAGCGGGCAGGTGTCGCTGATCAGGGGCGGCCAAGGCACAACAGCCGCGGTGGTCGGGTGATGACTAACCGAGGGCGATGTCCTCTACCTCCTCGTCACCGACAGAGTTACACGATTACAAGATCCGTCGGTCGGTTACGAGTACAGCACAAATGAGACATTGTACGCAATGTGTTTCCTGGCGAGACGGGTTGTGAATGATGTGTCAATTGATTCATTGATTAGAGTTTCCAGCCGCGTCAACTACTAAGGTAATTATTTCTATATAAAGACTGCCAGGACAGGGTATTTTTTTCTGTGGGACACTGCAGCGGTGATCAGGGCGGATAGCTCCTGCGCTGGAGAAGGCGCCATACGATGGCTTGCAGGGTTTTCCCAAACCAAATATCTCCAACCCCACCCAGGATGTTCTAAGCTACCAACATGTGTGGTAGTGTAATGCGTGTCAGTGCAAGTGTGTGTAAGAGAGAGGATAGGACAATGAAGAGGAAAGAAAAGATCGCGCGCGATCCGTGGCCCGTTTATTAGGATACTACTCCGGCATTCGGCTGGTATTGATCGGGGAAACCTAGGAAAACTACAGATCAGAGCAGACGGCCGCTAGACGTCTCCTCTAGACAGTGGCAGAATTTGACCTAGCTTGGTAGCTAGTGACGAAAATCCTGCCACTGTCGGGACTCGAACGCTAGGACATCCCGGTCAGATGCCCTGCAGTGACATCAGAGCCACCTAAGCAGGCGATGCGTCGAAACATTGTGATTAGTAAGATAATTTATGCTGTAATGTAAGGAGCTTTGAACTTCTGGTGGTTTTGGTGACTCGTATTGTCGAGATATTGGTAAAACCGCGATTCGGTATTGTAAATGGTATCTTGTTTTTTTGAATCCTGCAATATGCATGTGCATTTTTATCATAATAGAAATTCGGTTCATTGTGAATGAATTAGTTTTGTTTATTATTTTAGTAACTCAAATTGATATTGAATTATTACATTTGTTTGATAAATATTGTAAGATTATGAATAGGATGTTGATGAGATAAAAATGAATGCGCATTGATTCTATGGAGAATATTAGCTGACAGCACATGAACCACCACTTTTGAAATGCAGAATAAAAAATAATTAATAAATCAAATTTGCCTGATACATATTGCGATTATTGCATATATTTATAGTTTCATTTATGATTTATTGGTTAATTAAAAAATGAATTACATTTTTGTGTTAAAGTATCCGGTAGTCTTTGTGTTATTTTACTCTGAAGCAATGAGAACCGGAATATCGTATTGTATATTTCTTCGTCCAAAGCGCTCAAATAATATATTTCTTCTTTAGCCTTTGCTAGATGTTTGTTATTTAGAATTTCCAGTAGTACGCACGAAGAAATTGTATTCATGCTTAGCATACATTTGAGGGGAAAGTGCTTATCCGTATGTTTTCCTCCTGAACTATTTTTAATTCCAAATCATATGTATAATAAAATAACAGTAGATGACAGTTAAGACTTGCTAATATTCAGTTTTTTATGACCAGAAATATAAGCTTTCGTCACGTTTCAGTCACATTTTACTAATATTCATGTCTATAGACTTCTAGGGTTTTATTTTAACTCATTATTTTTTGCTTTACATTTCTATCCAATATTTTAATTTTTTTGTTAGAATACTGCTTGTACCGTATATTATTAAATAATCTGAAGTTGAAAGTTTTCGTACACTCATCTTAAATATTGTGTATGTTAGATATATCTTAGATTATTTATTTTAGATAGCACTATTTTTGTGTTTTTTTAAAATTTCACTACTCTATTCAGTATTCTAAACAGTATTCGTAAAATATTACCTATTTATTATACTTACGTACTTATTTGCTCATCTGTTCTCATGTAAAAATATATTTTTTATACGTCTTTTATGTATTTTTGTATACCTTTTTTTCCATCACACAAATCAGAGGTTCATTATTTTTAGTTTGTATAACAGAAGAAATTTTCCCATGATCGTTTTAGGGTTAACCAAATCTTTCGTGAGTACTTAATAAACTCTGCTCAAGACACATTCTCTTTCATTTATACTTTCAAGATTGAATATGAAACACAACTAACACACTCTCGCCTCTCACTTCGAAAACGACCGGCATATGGGCCTTCCACTGTGCTTCCTATGCAATGCAAGCGCGGGCGATTAATGTAGAGCAAGCCGCAACAGCTGACATCGGGCGGGCACCCGCTCGGAAAAAAATGCGGGGAGTCGAGCATGTCGCGTGCATGCAACTTTTTGCGCGGGGTCCGGCGGCGCAGATCCTAGCGCATTGGCTCTACTGCCCCGCTGCGCGCCGGCGCAGTGGGCCGAAAGGCTAGTGCAAACTGCACGTGGGCATGCGGAGAAAACCGGCGCCTATCTTAAACGTCTTTCGAACGGCATTGCATCTGTAGATACTTACATACACCTGTATAAACAGACGGACGTCATCGTAAACCCCCTTTTTTTCATTGTTCTTAAAACGTTTCGAGGGTGAGCTGTCAAAAGAGAATGAATTATTTTCTGAATAAGGTGACTAATCGCAAGTGGTATTTAATACATGTGATTTTAGGTAGGCCAATTAACTGTAGTAATTTTGAGATGTACTAGTTTGCAACTCTAGCAATTTGAGCGGTTTGAGTTACAGAACAGATTGATGACATACTAACCAGCAGGCAAACGAATCTGAAGAAACACTTTTCGGTATAATCCTTGCATCGTATTTGAATTTGTTTCAAAGACTGCAACAGACGTAAATCTCGAAAAATAGGAATTTTGAGTTATGGCCGCAATTTAATAATATATTATTAAACTGCTACAAAGTGTTTTAATAATTCGTACAAAAACTGTAAATACGATTTTGTCGTAACTTCATTCTTCGAATTGCGCCAGAATTGCAGCCCGTGAACGAGGTTTTTTGTGTATGTGGAGTACGTTCTGGCCACTGCGCGTGGCTCGGGGCGACACGGCGCGGCGCTCATCTGCTTTAAGCCGCGCCGGGCGTCGCTCCCGCAATCTGAAGCACTGTATCGAAAACTTTACGCTCCGTAAAAAGCCGGCGCGCCCGCCCCTGCCGGCGTCACGCCACATCGCGCGGGCGCCGGCGAAAAAAGACAAAAGCATGTTTCAATGGTTACGGCCCCACGTGGCTGTAACAGCCCGAAAAAAATAAATGAATAAAAAAACGGAAGCACCTCTGCGCACTCTTGCGGTTTGCGCGTGAAACTGCGCCGACGAGGACTGTTACGTTTGCAGTGGTACTCATCTCATGGCGACGCAATGATCATGGTTTTATTATTGTCGATGTGCCCGTGAGAGGAAGGTGCGTACTTGACTGCAAAGCCAGGTCGCGGTGCTGGAATTAATTATCTCGTAAAATGATCGTGCATTATCACGCGTCGT